GAAGGGAAGGGAAGGGAAGGGAAGGGAAGGGAAGGGAAGGGAAGGGAAGGGACCCCAGCTGCATCCCAACAGCACACATGAACGCTCCAGGTCACACACCTCTGCGAAACGAGGCTCGGCTTGGATCAAGTGAAATGCCTTGTTTTCCAAATCCCAAAGCATTGCTCAAAATTTATTTCCCAGCAAAATCCAGAACTTTTCAAGTTCTCTTTTTTTAAATTATTTTTTAATGTTTTCAGGAAATCTATTTATTTATTTATTTATGTTTGGTCACTGACTAAAGTATGTTTTCCCCAGTTTATTTGTTTATAAACACAACGCTCCCTTTGTCCCAACGCCCCCACACCCACCCTCCTGTCTGGAAGTGAATTTTGCTTCTGATGCCAGTGGCGTAGGAGGAGCACAGTGCAGCTCCATTTACAAACATGTCAGAGACACCAGAATTAGGACAATACTATGACTGTAACGTTAAAAAAACAGAATATATTGCAACAGTAACGTAATTTTCAGAGTGTCTACTTAACGTTTTCCACAAAGTGAATTCTGTGAATACTGGATGCTATGCACCTGAAGTGAATAAACAATATTCACAAAGTCTACAGTTAAGCAGCAGATCTTTGGGAAAGGAAAGAAGGTACTTTCTTACACAGCTGGGGTGGATTTTGATTTGTACTTGGGTCAAGTACAGTGAAAGCAGAAACTGACCATCCTCAAGTGATTTGACACATTGCACCACTCACAGTTACTGCAAGAAATAAAAGGTTCACCCCAAAACACATGAAAAATTGCTCCAGCTTAAGAAAACTTCAGTTTTTCAGACTCTCTGTTTCTTCCTTACGAACAAGTGCTGGCTCTTTTACCCCTCTGGCCAAGCTTGGGAAGCAAAAGGAGTTCTGCTGCCAGAATGCAGCTTCAAATGCTGGGTTTCCTAATGAAGCACAGCATCAATTCGTGCAGCACACATCAGCATGCAGAGGGGAAAGTTTTATTCAGCATAGCATAGACCCTTCTTTCATGAAAAGGGGAGCAGGTTTCATGCATTCAGTTAATAAGCTTATTATTTCCCATGTGTTCCTTTGTGAGGGAGGTATTTTCTTTCTTCAGCAACCTGCATTAACTAAAACTGACTATAAAAGAAATGTTTTCAAACTCAAGCTACAGTCTACAATAAATAATGATCACTTTCCTCTTTTCAAAGTCAAATCTTGGCCTGAAATCTATTTTGTTCCTAGTGTTCCTGTTAAAAAAGATGTTGGTGGTCCAGTTCCAATGCCAATACACACTGTAGCATGGGTAAATCTGATTTCAGCTGCTCCTGCAAAGACTGAACTGCATCTGCAAACCCACCCGTGTGTGAAGAAGAAAAAAAAGAATCTGAAAGCTTATGATTTAATTCTTCCACAGAAGTCTTTGAGAGCTTATGTTATAATAAGGTCAGGAGAAAATATATGCAATTTCCCATCATTTGTCATGTTCACTCGAAGTAAGTGGACTTTGATTTGCTATAACTGAAAACTTTCAAAATCCATCATTTTAAGCATGAAAGGCAACACACAGACAATGTTCTCATAGTTACTCTCCTTAGGAGGGTCAAGAACTTAAAAGCATTTTTTACCCATTTTTGAATGAACAAACTTTTTTTTAAATTTCTCAACTATGGGAAAAGTTCTTATGAAGAGAAATATCTTTTAGTCCAGCCTATAGATTAGATAACAGATGTGAAAGCAAATCCACAACCAGACTGTAATTTAGGAAATAAAAGCAGCTCTGCTCTATGACATTACAGCGTCAGAAGTGCAGAAACCACTGTGGCAGTTTCATCATTTCCCATCTGGAAGAATAAATGGTGATTCTTGACCCTTCCCATCCACCCACCAGAAGACTCTCCTTTAAAGAACTACACATAAACTCCTACAGAGAAGAACTTCTCAGCTGAGCTGTTCTCTTCTCCAATGATCATTTATCAAACCCTCTAAGTATGGAAATGTCTGCATTCCTGCCAGGAGCCAACTATAAAAACCCCAACCTTTCCCCAACCCAAACCACAAGCAGGTAGA